AGAGTGGGGGAGAGTATGTGTGTGTTAATGATGAGATACATTGTTTTGAAAAATACTTTTTTTATACAAGGTGTGATTTAAATTTTTAAAATTAGTCAAAGACACATTGCCTCTAATCTCCCTTGACATACTCTGCCTCACATTTATTCCATTATTCTTGCCATTTTCTGAAACAATTTTAGAGGTGCTCTTTATGTCTTCACATAATCCTAAATTTTTAGAGTTTAAAACCCTAAGTAGCTGAGAAATATATAATGCAATTTTAGATAAATGTGTAAGTGGGGAAAAAAGACGGTAAGCAAAAGACAGAGTAGTCTTGTCTGATTTCTATATGAAAGATAATTTCAATGTCTTAAACTGCTATAAATTAACATAGCTGGAGGGTAAGTATAAATAAAATTAGATAAAGGAAATTACAATATAGAAGATGTTAGCAAATAATGTTATCATGTTAGCTTTTTGTGACTATAATAAAATGGCTGAGACTTACAAAGAGAAAAGGTTCACACTGGCTCATATTTTACTTTTCAGTCCATGACTGATTGGCTCTGTAGCTTTGGCTTCAGTGAGACCATGTGGCCAAGCACAACCAACCATCTCATGGCAGCCCGCAAGGGTGGAGGGACTAATACCCTACAAACCTCTTTGAGGGCATAACTTTAGTGACTTCCAACCACCTACCAGACCTTACTCCTTAACATGTCCACCACCTCCCAATAGTGGTTCAGCTGAGGACTAAGCCTTTAACATATTGGTTTCTGGGAGGCATTCCAAACCCAAACTGTGGCACTAATTATTTGTATTTAAGTTGGTGCTACCACTTCTTTCTAACTTTTGCTTAAATAATTATTGTGATTTTATTGTAACTGTTAGTTGAAACCAGTAGCTGTTTTCTAGGTGCACAGTTTAAAAATGTATTGCTCCATGACAGGTAGGGTGGTGCATACTTGCAATCCCAGCTACTTGGGAGGCTGAGGTGAAGGAGGACAAGTTTGCGAACAGCCAGGGCAACTTAGCAACTTATCAAGACCCTGCATCTAAATTAAAGAAGTTCTGGGAATGTAGCTTGATGCTTATTGGATTCAACTGGTACCACAAGGAAAAACAGAAAGAAAAGATTTTCTCTAAACCTCCCCTTCCCCAGTATTGGGGATTGAACCTAGGGTCTTTTTACTGGGTTACACTGTCAGCTCTTATAATTTTCTATCCTTTCTTTCTTTTCTTTCGTTTTTTTTTTGGAGACAGGGTCTCCCAAAGTCACTAAATTGTCCAGGCTAGGCTCAAACTTGGGGTTTGCCTGTCTCAGCTTTCTGAAGTGCAGGGATCACAAGGATGTGCCATCTTGCCTCTTTATCCAAAGCCTGAATTCTTTTTTTTTTTTTCCAAACCTGAATTCTTATAGACTGCTTGTAGAAATGTAAAACCATTTTGGGAAACTTTGGTTGTAGTGACTAAAGCTCATCATGTACACTCCTTATATTCCAATAATTCCACGCCTAATAGAAAATATTTGTTTATGTCAGAAAAGTTTTAACTAGAGAAAAAGTTCAAAGAATAAAAAACCATCAAGGGGCAGGAGCAAGGATAGCAGATAGATAACAGCTGGCTACAGAAGCTCCCTGAGATAGTCAACTTAGAATTCAGCATAATACAGAGTGGAGAGCCCCAAACAGAAGGAGATGAATTCTCTCGTCCCAAGAAGAAATTAAGGTGAGAAGAACCAAACCAAACAAACCAACCAGTGCTATTATTGGAACAGCTAAAGGTTCAGTGTTCCCGCTGCAGTGGTTGACTTGCCAACCATCGGAGGTACCACTGTGACTTGCCGAGGTCCTGCTGCTTCGACTCACTGGAGGCTCAGTTACATTGAGTTTGGGGGTCGGTGAGCTGAATGGAGAGCTGAGTTGGCAGGGTGCCTACATAGACCTGTGGTGAGTGACAGGAGTGGAGCCACTTCGTAGAAAGGGGGCTCTGGCAGATGACATTCTGGGACCAGGCAGGACTGGCAAGTACAAGGGACAGCAGTGACTTCAGTAAGTGGTTCCCTTCCTGAACAGGATTGGTGGAGTGAGGTAGGCCTGGGTCACTTGATCTGGCTAAGACCCAATAGGTTATCTGAAATCAAGTCCCTACAGTGGTGGCGCACACTAACCACACTAACCCAGTGAAGCCTCAGAAGTTTTACTGACCTGGAGGGGAGGTGGCGCAAAGTAATACAGTGCAGGCTGCAGCAGCTTGACTGACCCGGAGGGGAGGGGCCAGCATATGCTATCCCTGTCTGCAACACACTAGCACATGGCAGTGGCAAGGGTCATTTAGCCAACATGCTTCAGAAGAATTGTAACCAACAAAGAAAGAAGCTGGGGCCTCCTGGAAGAAGCAAAAAAGATAGGAAGAGGAAGCAACAACAAAAAGTCCCCAGGTCCCAACCCTGAGAACATTGACCCAGGATATGTAAATACAAAGGAGAATGAGAACAGCAAACATGCAATATCAGACACAGTGCCAGTGGACATAAAGAGCTATATTCGGGACCTCATAGATGAGTTCATAAGTGAAATATTTAGCCAAGTAAATCAGTAACAATACAAAGGCTAGAAGATGACAAGAGGATTTATAACTTGAGAATAAAGACTGTGAATGAAGAAGCAGGGGTACAAACAAAGGAACTATAAAGGCTATTCACAGAAATAATTAAGGAAAACTTCCCAAACATAGGAAAAGGAAATTATATTCTGATATATGAAGGATACAGAACTCCAGCCACCTACAACCAAAATAGAGCTATACCCAGACACATAATAATCAAGATCCCAGAAATTCAATATAATACCCAGAAATAAAAAAACCCTTCAGCCACTATACCTGGAAAAATAAGCCCTGGAGAGATAAATACAGAAGAGAAACAGTGCAGTAATCACACAATATTAGATATAGCATCAGTGGACATAAAGAAATACCTTCATGAACTCATAGACAAATATAAAACTGTACTTCTGATCCAAGTGAGGCAAGATATAAAATGATTAATTAAAGAAATGATAAGCCCCTCCCAAGAGAACACAGATGGAAGAACAGAGGAATTCAGAAAAAGAAGAGAAACCTTTGATGAAGAATATAAACAAAATCTAGAATACATGAAACAGATCCAAAGAGATTACCAGGAAACTAAAAACTCCATTGAAAGCTGGCAAAATGCCTTGATAGAAACTAAAGCCAGCCTTTTGAAACTTGAAGAGAGATTTATGGTGTGTGATCATGAAAGAAAAGATCTCTTAAAAATAACAAGGAACCAGAAAGAAACAATACAAAGGCTTGAAGATGACAAGAAGATTTATAACTTAAGAATAAAAAACCTGAGTGAAGAAGCAGGAGTAACTACAAATGAGCTACAAAGAATATTCACAGAAATAATTAAGGAAAACTTCCCAAGCATAGGAAAAAGAAATTATATCCAGGTAAAAGAGGCATATAGAATTCCAGTCACCTACAACCAAAAGAGATCTACACCCAGACATAATAATCAAGATTCCAGAAATCCACCACAAGAACAGAATATTAAAAGCAGATTACCTATAATGGAAAAATTATCAAAATAATGACAGACTTATCAACACAAACTCTTAAATCAAGAAGAGCCTGGGAGGAAATAGTCCAAGCCCTGAAAGAAAATAACCTCCAACCAAGACTGATGTACCCGGAAAAACTATCTCAACATTAATGGAGAAACAAAGATATTTCCAAGACAAGGAGGAACTGTGGGAGTTCATGGCCACCAGCCCAACCCTACAAAAAATACTGAAGGACATTCCAGAAAGAGAGGAAAAAAATCAGGATTCCAGCAACAGTGACATAGAGGCCTCAATGAATGGGGCTGACAGTGGAATGAAGGAGTAAAGTGGACAAATAATGACAGAAGAATAAAATAGCAGAAATGAGGCAGAGGCGGTAAGCTATACTCTTGAATATAGATAGCCCTGATACACTAACAAAAAAAGAAACACAGGCAGAGTAGATTAGGAGGCAGGATCCATCACAATGCTCTGAATAGGAGATATACTCAGCTGAAAGAGGGTTAATAAACTGAGAATCAAAGATGAGAAAACAATGCTATGTGTGACAGAAATAGGGACAACTCATCCAGCAGCTGCAGATAGATTGGAAAGCTATGACTCTTTTGGGCAGTGTAGAACTACACAGCTGGAAGGAAGGACAACCTTGTGACTTTAGTAAGTAAAGGAGTATAGCTCAAGATCAAGCTCAGGAGTAAAAAGATTTAGCAACACTCAGATAGATAACAGGTTGGCCCCCTAATCTAAAAACTAAAAGAGCTAGTGGGACCCAAAATATACAAAGCACCCTAAGAAAGGTGAAAGGGAGGAATTGTCTAAAAAAGGAAGGCAGAGGACATTGTTAATAGTGTATTGGGATTTAAAAGTCACAGTAGTCTTATTGCTCTGTTCAGTTTGATTATATTTTGTTCCCATCTGTCTGCTCATTAGATTTGAGGACACAGCTAACCCAAAAATAGCAGGTTATACCATGGTAACTATCCTTAATTTCCTATTAACTTACACTGAAACCCTGTATTACTTACATTGTCTTACTATGACTGATCTTATTTGAATCTGGTTTGTTAGACTGCTGTTTAGCCTTGACTGATTTCATTCGAATTTGGTATGCTTGATAGTTTCAAGTCTGGGAGTGAAAACAACTACTTTGAAGATAACAAGATGTAAAAGATATCCGTTCTGGTTTTGATTATTAACTGCTTTCAAGTACTACAATATCTTCAAAGTTCTGTTTTTATTAAAATAGCTATGTAATGTTATGTTCAATTATATCATGCCTGATGATGTGGACAATGCTATTGAAAATAACAAGAGAAAGTAACTACTGTAGATCACCTAATATTGTGGTCCTATATGTCTTTTTCACTTCATGTTTTTCTAGGAATTTATTTTGTTGCCTTGTTTTGTCTGTTTTTCCCTATAATACAGAAAGGATAGATATGCATGTCGAGATTCACACATGGGAAGAATTTCTAAACTATTTACGGAAACAGATTATATAATACACGATGTAATGAACGGATGCTCTGAAGAAGAGACACTAAGAAACCCAGTGCTAATTCTGTAGCATTGTGATATGAAATCTAGCAATACTATCATTCACTGTTCAGAGTGATATTAGTCTAGTGTCTTATGTTCAGTTTCAGCAAATGTAAAGATAAAGACAGCTACTTTGAAGAGACCGAGAAACATTATGGTAGACATTATTGACTTCCCCAAAATCAGGTCTTGAAGACCTAAAAAGCCTTTATCATCCTGTAATGATCTGATTAGTTCTATAATGTTCAGTATATATTCAATCTGTGTGAAGATGGGGACAACTATTTGGAAGAAAACTAGAGAAAATAAGATAAAACAGTGAAGATCTCCAGTGGACTTGCTTGGAAATCTATGTTCCTTTAAATTGTTTCCTTATAAACTGTTTTGTTCTGTTTAATCTTACCCTCTTTAAGATAAAAAACAAGTGTGTAGGACTGATAACCATATTACTAAGTTCTTGTTGGATCATTGAGAACTGTTTGCAGTGTTATTAGTTGAATATCACTTTGTATGCTTTAATTTTGTAACTTGAGCAACTATTTCTAAGATGATGGTATGTAACTTATCGACTGGTGATTTCTTACTGTTTATTTTTCTGAAATTCTGTATTGTTTCTACTCTTTTTATGTTTTTTTTCCTTTAAAACAAAAAAGAATAACGTCAGACTTCTCAACACAAACCATCAAGTCAAAAATAGCCTGGAGCAAAATATTCCAAGCCCTGAAAGAAAATAACCTCCATTCCAGATTGATATACTCTGCTAAACTGTCTCTAGAAATTAATGGAGAAACAAGATGCTTCCAAGACAAAGAGGAACTTGGGAAATTTGCAACCACCAATCCAACTCTATAGAGAATCCTGCAGGGCATTCTAGAGAGACAGAGAAAAGTACAAGGATTCCAGGAACAGTGGCAGAGAGGCCTCAATGAATGGAGCAGAAAACAGAATGAAGAAGATAAGCAGACAACTGATGGCAAAAAAAGAGCATAACAAAAATGAGGCAGAGAAGATTTTATTCAAAAATGATATGATTGATAGTATCAAGTCAGAGTATAGGCAACTACACTGAAGATGACAAGACTCTACAATACATATTCTGGTTTGATAACTGCTGGTTTTTGAAGTTCTATACTATATACAAAGTTGTGTTTTTATTAATACTATTATGTACTGACATATTCAATTATACTATGTCTGATGATATAGTCAATTCTATTGGAGATAACAAGAGACACCACAGGAACTATGGTAGAATCATTTGTACAATAGCATATAATGTTAATGTTAATTGAGGGTATTATGTTCTTGTATATAGCATATCTTTATTCTTTTTTCTATATTTTTATTTTAAAGGGAATAAAACAACAGTAAAATGTTTATTTCGTTTCATGTGTTTATAGGAGTATGTTTTGTTTTGCCTTGCTTTGTTTTGTTTCTCCCTCTAATATAGAAAGGATAGAAATACTTTTAAGACTCATGCATGTGTAGAATCTATAAACAGTTTATGTGTCATAACACATGATGAAATGAACAGATACTTTGAAGAAAAAAAGACGCTAAAATACCCAATGCTGACCCTGGAGTGTCATAATGTGAAACCCAGCAGTAGTATTATTCTTTGTTTAGAGTGATATTAGCCTGCTTGGGTTTATTCAATCTCAACATAATTGAAGATATGGATAACTGCATGTATGTTTAAGTGTATGGGATTTATAACCATATTTCTAAGTTTTTGTTGGATAGTTGAACAGAACTGGTTGCAATCTCACTGTTTGAATCCCCACTTTATATGCTCTATTTTAGTATCTTGAATAACTATTTGTAAGAAGACAATCTGAAATCAACTAGTGATTTCTTACTATTTATTTTTTTCTTTGAAATTATGCATTATTGCTACCCGTTTTCTGTTTTGTTTTAGTCTTTGTTTGTTTAGCCTTTCTTTAAATTAAATTTTAAAAAAAGACACTACAGTACCAGGGTTGATCACGAATGTCATGACGTGAAATCCAGCAATACTATTATTCTTTGTTCAGAATGATATTAATCTGCTTTAGTTTGTTTAATCTAAACATAAATGAAGATATGGATAACTGCATGTATGTTTAAGTGTATAGGATTGACAACCATGTTACTAAGTTTTTGTTGGACTGTTGAACAGAATTGTTTGCGGTCTCACTGTTTGAATTTCCACTTTACATGTTCTTTTTGTATCTTGAACAACTATTTGTAAAATGACAATATGTAAACATCAACTAGTGATTTCTTACTGTTTATTTTTTTCTCTGAAAGTATGTATTATTTCTACCTATCTTCTGGTTTGTTTAGTCTTTCTTTAAATAAAATTTAAAAAAATTAAACCATCATCCTACTATCAAGATAATCATTACCAGCATTTGTAAAGACAGTCTTACTTAACTCATTGTTTGGTAGTGGGCTTATTTTATGTAATAATATATTGGGAATATATTTCCTTGTAAGATATTTTTAACACACATTTAAAAATTTTTTTATTTTAATTAGCACATGTTTGCAGTTCATGCAGTTTGTGATCATCTTGGGGGAATGGCTACATGTGTATACTACTTTTTTTTAATAAATCTCCTTCCCTTCCTTCCTCCCCCTCTTTTTCCTCCAGTTTCTCTATCCAATTTTCATTTTTGTTGGTGTTATTAGTCTTAGCTTGTTATAGCATATAATGTTAATGTTAATTGAGGGTATTATGTTCTTGTATATAGCATATGTTTATTCTTTTTCCTATATTTTTATTTTAAAGGGAATAAAACAACAGTAAAATGAAATAAAACAGAAATAGGACAGTAGGAAACCCACAATCATTACCATATCACATATCGTTACGCTCTAACTAGTTGCTCAGACTACTGGCCCCAGGCTTGCACAGCTACTCAGACAACATAAACGTCAGGCTGCTTCCCTCCTTCAGTTATTACCCTCTCAGCCTGTGCCACATCTGGCCTGCAGGGCTTCTGCTGGCACACAGTGGGTGGGAGGCAGTGGGGCACAGCTTCCTTGTTGCTTCCCCAGCCGGCTGGCAGTGCCTCTGCCGGCACACGGGAGGGTTACAAAGCTTCCTTGCTGCTTCTCCCCATCTGGCAGGTCCTCCTCTGGCACACAGTGTTGGAGAGGGGGCACATGGCTCCTTGCTGTTTCTCCTCATTCAGCAGGGCCACCAGCCCTGGTTTTCTTATTTTTGCTGGATTCCTGACTTTTCTCTCTCCATGGGCTTCAAGTCTTAGTTCAGTTCCTTCCTGCGTTCATGGGACCCACCTCTCTCCTTCTCTTCCTCATATTGTTCTAAAACTTGGAGAGGTTCTTTCTCTGGTGCTCACCACTCCACCATTTTCCCAGAAGTCTCTGTATCTTTATTCTTTTTTTTCCTTTGGTACTGGGAATCAAACTCATGACCTTGCACTTGCCAGGCAGGTGCTGTGCTGCTGAACTATATCCCCAGCCCCATATCTTTATTCTTATTTCCTCTCTACCTCCTCATTCCTCATCCTTTCCTGTTGATCCACTTTCCTACTGCAAAGAGATTCATCCCTTGTCCTCTTCTGTTCATTATCAGTCTCTATGTTTTTTTTTTTTTTTTTTTTAATTTTATTTAAGGAGAAAAAAAAAAGGCAGGGAAAGGGTACAAGTTATACAGATTTACAGAAAAAAAAATGAACAGTAGGAAATCACTAGTTAATGGATTACATATTGTCATCTTAGAAATAATTGTTCAAGTCACAAAATTAAAGCTTGTAAAGTGGACATTCCATCAATGATACTGCAAACAGCTCTGTTCATTGATCCAATAAAACTCTGTGATATCATTTTCTATCTTATACACTTAAATATACATGCAGTTATATAGTTTGGAGCACTTTGTTTTCCTCTCTTTTGTACCATGACTATTACACATTTTGGGTTTCATTGCTCCCACGGTTCTTATTACTTTTTTGGAAGAGAGTAAAACCAAATGTGACATAACAGAACAGAATCGGTCAAGTCAAAAGGATGGACATAATAGATAATGTAAAAACATAATACAAGGTGATCAACAATGGTTACCATAATGCCTCCCGCTATCTCTAATAGAATTGCCTATATCGTTAGTTATAATACAATTGAACAAAACAGTAAAGAATAAAATCGACAAAACCAAAACATTGGAGACAGTGTAGGTCTTCAAAAGTAGATAAAAGTCAACAAGAATGGGCGTCATAATGAATCTCGTTTTCTTCACAGCTGATGCCTAAACTTTCGAACCTGATACTATCCAGCAAAACAGAATAGGGGAACATCAGTTAAAAACCAGATGGTGAGAGTAATACAGGGCTTTAAATCAAGGTAATGAAAAGTCAAAGTGGGTTACTATAATATATCCTGCTATTTTTTTCCCTTTAATTAAAAGGATAAAGATAAAAAAGTAAATAATGGAGTGGAGATTGAGATAAAAGAGGGCATAACAACGAAACAGCGCAGATCAAAACATAACCATTTAAGCAGAATAGTGTTTCACCACCAGATAATCCTAACCTAAAAGTAGTTACCATATTGTCTCTTTCTTTGAAATCCTTGAGTACAACTTCGTATACTGTAGCATTAAGTATATCAAAACAATGTAAAACCATTCAAGAGAATGACAGCATTACAGAGTATTTAGAATCGACTAACAGAAAATGAACAATGGTTTCTGTATAATCTCCTTGTCTTTAAAAGGTTTTTGCTTATACTATCGTACATAATAAAATCCAATAAGATACAGCCTATTTAGACCATTGGAGACAGAAGGACAAAAGCTAGATGAGACTTCAAAACAAGATGATACTAAATCAGTATTACCTATTAAGATGTCATTTTCTCCAAAATAGCTGTTCCTATCATCCAATCTTCTCTGCCTCATTTCTGTTGAGCTCTTTTTCTGTCAGTAGCTTTCAGTTTGTCTTCTTCATTTTGTTCTCTGCTCCATTCATTGTGGCCTCTCTGCCATTATTTCTGGATTCTTTGTATTTTTCTTTTTTTAGAATATCCTGCAATACTCTCTGTAGAGTTGAATTGGTGGTTGCAAATTCCCCCAGTTCCTCTTTATCCTGGAAGCACCTTGTTTTTCCATCAATTTCCAGGGACAGTTGTGCAGGATATCTCAATCTTGGCTGGAGATTATTATCTTTCAAAGCTTGAATTATTTCCCCCCACGCTCTTCGTGATCTGATGGTTTGTGCAGAGAAATCTGCTGTAATTCTGATGGGTGTTCCCTTGTAAGTGGTCTGTTTCTTGTCTCTGACAGCTTTTAATATTCTGTTCTTGTATTGAATTTCTGGAATTTTTATTATTATATGCCTGGGTGTTGCTCTGTTTGGGTTGTAGGTAGCTGGGGTCCTGTATGCCTCATACATCTGAGTATCTTTACCTTTTGCTAAATTAGGAAAATTCTCCTGGATTATTTCTGTGAGTAGCTTTTGTAGTTCACTTGTTTGTGTCCCTACTTCTTCTTTTATGTTCTTAATCCTTAAGTTATGGATCCTCTTATCATCTTCTTGTCTTTGTATTATTGCTGTTTGTTTCTTTGTTATTTTTAAGAAGTTTTTCATTTCATTCTCCCATATTACGAGTCTGCCCTCCAGTTCAGATAGTCTGTCCTTAGTTTCTTTCAAGCTGTTATGCCAGTCTTCTATAGACTTCTTAGTATCTTGGTAGTCCCTTTGGACCTGCTTCACGTATTCTATGCTTTCTCTGTTTTCTCCATCAAACAATTCTCCCCTTTTTTTCTGTTCTTCCATTCCACCACCTGTTTTTTCTTGGGTGGTGCTTAGCATTTCTCTAACTATTCTGCATACTTCTAGCTTCAGGTCATTGATAACTTCATTCCTGAATTGGTCTATGAGGCTCTCTATATAGCGCCTTATGTGATTTGGTGCGGTGTCTGCTATTGCCTGTTTCTCAGAATTGGGGGCCGAGGAGCCTTTCTTGTTGCTGCCTCTTCCCATGCTGCCTCTTCTTCTCTGTTCCTTATATATGCAAGCTTATATAAGAGGCCCAGCTTCTCTCCCAGTCAGCCACAGCCTGATCGAATTGCGCCAGTTAGGTGTTCCCGCTCACCGCTGCGCACCAGGGAGTTACGGACCAGGCAGCCTACGCGTCTCCCCTCCCGGCCACCGTCAGGCTCTGGGATCTGGGTTGGGACAGTCTACCAGGTCCGCCGGCAGCGTCACGCAAGCCAGGCACTTTTCACCAATCCCGCCCGAGAGGGGGATGTGTGGCTGGAGTCGCCACCGCGCCCTGCTCCCGCAGGACTGCTCAGGCCCAGAAAGTCCTCCGCTGGAGTCAAACTGTGGTAGAGTGTCAGTTTCTCTCACTCACCTCACCACAAGTCAGTGCACGCCTCCCTGCCGTTCGCAGATTGCCGTTCTCAGAGCTTCTGCGCGTCTCTCTCCTTGCCGAGCCGCTTGTGGAGGCAGCCAGCCACCGCGCGGCGGGAAACCCAAATCGCGGCTTCCAATGGCGCAGGGTCCAGCCTCCACACCGAGGCTTTTCTGTTCCTGTTTTAGCACCAGGAATGCATTCCAAGTTGGTTTCTCTCAGCCCAGTTCGTTCCTGAGTCAGCAGAGCATATCTCCACCTGCTTATGTCTCCTTAGTCCGCACCATTCCTGGCTTCTGAGCCGAGTCTTTCAGAGAGCCTCCGGTAGTTGCTGTTATCTGTCCGCCATGTTCTCCTGGAAGAAGGAGTCTCTATGTTTGTACTTTGCCTCACTCAAATGAGAAATATCCTATGGTATCTAAGCTGTGTGCCTAGTTTATTTCACTCAATATTATATTTTCCTACAAATATCTCAAATTTTCCATCCTCTATAGCTGAGTAGTATTCTGTTATATACAGATACAACATTTTCTTTATCCAAACATCTGTTGATGAATGTACAAGCTTCCAGGATTTAGCTCTTATGAATTATACTATTATAAACTTTGTATGCAAGTATTGCAATAATATGATGTCTTAAACAATTTGGGGAAGAGACCTGGAAGGGGTATAGCTGAACCATATGGAATTTTGGATTTCAGCTCTTTGAGAAATCTCCATAATGATTCCATAATGGTTGTACTAGTTTACATTCCCACCAACAATGAAGGCGGGTTCCTTTTTCACCACATGATGCCAGCATTTGTTGCTTGATTTCTTATTGATTGCCATTCTTTCTGGAGTAAGTTGGAATCTTAGGGTTGCTTTAAGTTGCATTTCTCTAGTGGTCAGAGAGCATTTTTTCATATATTTGTTGACTGTATTTTTCCCTCTGTGAAGTGTTTGTTCCTCTCTCTTGCCCATTTCTTTACTGAGTCTTTAATTTAGGTGATATAAGGTTTTTGAGTTCTTTGTATATTCTAGAAATTAGACTTCTGTTTAAGGAGTAGCTGACAACATTTTTGTAATTCTTTATGTTGTCCCTTCCCTGTACTGATTGATTTTTTTGCTGTACAGAATTTTTTAGTCTTATTTAACTCTGTTTATTGGTTTGTGCTGTCCAGTTTCAATCTTCTGCAGTTAACCAGTTTTCCCAGTCCTACTTGTTGAATAGGTTGTCCTTCCTTCAGCATACTCTTTTGGCTCCTTTGTCAAAGATCAAATAGCTGAATGTGCTTGGGGAAGTTTCTAGATCCTTTTTTCTATTCCATTGAGCCACGTATCTGTTTTTTCCTCCCAGCACCACGCTGTTTTTGTTATTACTGCTTTGTAGTATAGCTTGAAGTCAGGTACTGTATTGCTGTACCTTCAGCTTTGCTTTTGTGGCCCAAAACTGGTTTCTCAATGATACTATTTTTAATATCTCCTAGAATATCATACCATGACTATACCATAAAATACAGTGCTTTTCATAATTGTTTTCTTGGATACTTAGAATACATGTAATTTTCCACTATACTTAAATGAACAATATAATTCTTAGATGTAAATTTCTAGCAAATATTTGAATATTAGACTAAATTTCTATCAATGATTTTAAAAATATGCATCACTGATAGAGTGCTTCCCTGGTATGTGCAAGACCCTGGGGAAAAATATGCATTTTAAGGATTAAGTTACAGGTTTCTAAAAATTATTATAATTTACATATCCTTCAGCATTTTACAACATTGTACAAATATCTAAAAATAAACATCATTATTTTAATCTTTGTCAAATTTCATTCTAGTTTTAATATATATGGTTGGACTTCAGAAGTCCATATATTCTCTGCTCATCTTCTTTGACTTTTTCTACTTTTTTTTTTTAGGTGCTGGGATTGAAGCCAGGGTCTTATGCCTACTAGGCAAGTGCTCCACCACTAAGCTGCACCCCATCCCAAGTTTTTTGTATTTTAACATCTTCCTTATTTTAAATAATTCTTTTTAAACATAGCAAGCAAAATGCTTTGCATATTACACATGTTGCATATTTTTCCTGACTTAAGATACACTTTTTATATTTAACAATTTTCCAAATAGCTAATTCTGATGTGATAAGTGTCCTCTTGAGGCAGCAGATTTTAGGAGAAAGGATTGTTGCAGATAGATCACTTTGGGCATCTCTGTTGAACTTAATTTCTTATACTTCTATTTCATGTTCTTTAGTTTCTGTCCTTATTTCCCTCTCTTTTACTTTTAGTAAGACATATTTCCTTAATGATAACTGTTTCATTCCCAGAGGCACAAAGGATATGTATGAGATTCATATTTGTAGTGAGAACTAACATTCTTAATTGTCTGCCACATACTGTATCGGATACTGTGCTAGACATTTCACTGGGTTAATTCATGTTTCCTTGAACAATGCTAAGATAATATATATTATTTTCTTCATTGTATAAGGTGAAGAAATTGAAAATCATTTAAGTTACAGGTCATGAAGCTGGGAATATGCCTCAGTGGGAGACTGTGTGATTAATATGAACAAGGCCCTGGATTTGAACCGAATTCTCCAAAAGAAAAAAAAAAGCACTTTTCTTTCTTGTCTTATCTTTACCCCTAATTTGTATCTTTGCTATGGCAGTTCCACTCTTAACAGCTGCTTAAATCAAAAGACTCAGGATTCTCCTTGTCTTCTTTCTTTCATACAGCACATCTAATTTGTGAGGAAACTGTATGAGATCATCATCTTCACCTCTGTCTCCCTGGCCTAAGGCATTGTATCTTTCTTGCTTGTGGATTATTTTGATAGTTTCCTAACTGGTCTCTCTGACCAGTTCTTGTCCTGTACTGTCTATTCTCAATCCAACAGTAAAACTGACCTGTTCCAGTCAGCTTTCCATTACCGTAACTAAATATCAGATATTCAATTTATAAGGAGGAAAGGTTTACTTTGGCTCAGTTTGGGAGGTTTCAGTATGCAGCTGATGGGCTACTTGTGAATGGGCCTAGAGGGAGATATTATATCATGGTGGGAGCTCATGGCTGGAGGAAGAGAAACAAAGAAAAGGAGAGGGGGGTCTGTCTGGGACCCCAATATCCCCTGCAAGGGTATCCCCTCCCCACTGACTGGTGGACCTCCTACTAGCCCTACCTCTTCCCCACCTTGATAATACCACTACTTGGGGACCAAGCCTTTAACAGATGGACCTTGGGGGATACTTACCCAAACCACAGCATAACATCTCACACCAGAGATGTAACTTTTATACACAAAATTCTCAATGGCTCCCAATTTACCAAAGCAAAATCCTCACTTGATTTGCAGCACTCCTACCTCTTGCATCTGACTTCATCTTCTCCACTTTTCTACCTACCCTGTTGGCTGTTCTTAGCACATGCAGGCATATTTCTGTCCTGAGGGACTTTTGCATTTGCTGTGCATTCTTCTTAGAATGTTTTCTGCCCAGATCTCTGTCTCTGTCTCTGTCTCTCTGAGTACCAGGGATCGAACTCATGACTGCGCGCTGAGCTAAATCCCCAGCCCCGCTCTCTTTTTTGAGACAGAGCCTTGCTACGTAGTCCAAGCTAGCCCCCAACTCTCAGAAATCCTCCCCTACCTCCATCTCCTGAGCGCTGGGATTACAGGCATGTGTCACCAAGCTGGCCTGCCCAGATATCTTGCCCAGGTATCTCCGTAATTTCCCTCCGCTCTTTCCCTCATACTGCTTCTGTACCTCTCTGCTTCGTTTTTCTCTATAGCACTTCTCTCTTGTGGGGTTGCTGAGAATTAGCCTCACAGGCTCCTGCATGCTATGGAAGTGTCGTGCCGCTGAGCTACCTTCCAAGCCCCACAGGATTTCTAATCGTCTGGCGGTTCACACATTTTCCTTATTTATCAACTACCCCTTAACCTGGAATACATCTCCACAAAGGCTACGCTTTTTATGTTTTTTGTTCAGTGTGGGATTACCAATCCCTAAGAGTACCCACCGTGCCCAAAACAATCAGTAGATGCATTTTGAATAAATGTGTGATTCCTCTATATTCCAGCTTGCTAGAGCAGCCAACGTGAAGTGCTGCCAGGAAACTCCCTCCTGACCCCTGCTCGAGCTCTACCTCCTTCGTCCTTCCCCACTTTATGCCTGGGCCTCACTTCACCGCACTTGTCACAGGTCATAGCTGCGAATCTTGAGACATGCGTGTTTATGCCGCGTCTCTGCTACCACGTCCGAGCACGGCAGTCGGCGGCGGTGGGAGATAGCTAGCGGTCCAGAAAGCGTCAAGTCCGCTTGTGACCATAGTTGCCGGGGGAACTGAAACCAGATTCAGCACCCAGTGGTTCTCTGGGGTGCCAGGTGTCCAGAGTGTGGGAAAGTAGCTCCTTCCTCCAAAGCAGACTGGGGATGCAGCTGTGGTGGAAAGCCCCCGCCGCTCTGGTGGAGGGAGGCTCACCCCAAGTTTCGGCTGCACCAACCACAGGGCTGTGGGAATGCCGAGAGCCTCTCCTCGAGCTTCGGATTCCTTCTGCGGGCTTCAGAGCCTGACTTCGGGCCGGGGAGGCGCCTGACGGTCATCTGCCTCGCGCTCTCCACGAGCTTCAGACTTGGGGCACAAGTCCCCGAGACCCAAAACAAGCAGGGTGACGCTGAGCTCGCCCTGCAAAAGCGAAACGTCACCCCTCCCGCGTCCTGAGGTGACACTTCCCCCGTCCACTTCAGGGGTGGTTTATTTCTTTACTACTTATTCAGTTTGGTGCCGTGTGTGAATGGGTGAAGGTCTGGCGAAAGGCGAACCTCCAAGGGCGAGGTGGCAGGCGTCGAGCCCAGCTCAGGTTTCGGTGGAAACTTTCTCTCAGAGCTCCGCCCCCTTCACCTTGGAAACCCGAGCGCGCGGAAGCGCTCAGCCGGAGAGCACCTGGAGGTCGGCCCCGGCAGCGCGAGCCGAGGGGCGGAGCCTGCGGCGGCGGGGGCGGGGTCTAGGGCAGGGGCGCGGTCGGCCGGCAGGGGCGCGGTCCGCGACGTGCTATCCTGGCTGGGCCGGCAGGTCGGGCCCCGCCCCTGGCTCCAGCCCCGCCCGTGCTCCCGAGGGCACGGGTAGCTGGGCGGGGCGAGCCCGGACTGCGCCGCGCCAAGGGCTGACGCACCGTCGGAAAGTTGAGCTCAGACCTTCGCTCGGTTTCTTCGGGCTCCCCGGGCGCCGCTGGACCGGGACCCGGATCCAGCCCGGAGAGAGAGAGAGAGAGGTGGGTCGTGCGCTGGAGTTTCGTCTGGGCCGGGCGTGGAGCCGGCGCTGTCTGGCTTGCCTTGGGTGCCCTGCGCTGGTGCCGTCCGCGCTTCACACTTTTCTCCAGTTCGGGGCTCTGCGCGCCGACGGCAGCCGCGGCCGCCGACAGGTACGAGGCGTGCGGACCTGCACCTGGTCTTTGCGCTTCAGGAGTCTTAGTTTAGGGTGCTGGAGAAGGAGGACTGACCGGGCAGCGGAGCGCGGAGTGTCCCCAGCCAGGTCCCTGTGCGGGCCAGGCAGGAGGTGGCTCTGGGGGCTGAGGTCTCTGCCCGCTGGGGCGGTGCCAGCTTGTTTTGACTGAGGCAGATGTCGCCAGGTTCTCCACCCCTTTCCTCAGTCCCTGGAGCCAGAGCCCTGTGGTCCTGAGGGAGGAGCTGCTGGCAAAGGCGAGGCGCTCTGGATCTCAGTTTTCCTCTCCAAGCCTCCTTGCATACATTTATAAGAGACAGGTGGTGCCAGTCAGGTTGGAGTACTTTCCTGGGGTAAAGACTTGTTGGGTGGCTGTTGCTCAATTTTATAAATTCGCTGATGAGACTGCATTCAGGTCGTGGTTGTTACTGATTGTGCGCGTGTGTTTTCCTTGGTTCTCAACAATGCTCTCTTGTTAACCCACTTCTCCGAAGGAGTAGAAGTGGTTATTTTATTTGAAGCCGGGTTAGACGAGGAGGAGGAGGCGGTGGTGGCCACAGAGGCAGCCAGGTTGCTTGGGACGTCGGGGAGCAGGTGTGGTGAATTATCACAGGTCTATCCATGGGCACCTGGACCCATCCATTTATAACAGATCCAACCAACACAGTCAGCAGGTGTTGCAGCCCCAAGCATCTTGGGGTGGAGAAAACTGAGGAGAGGGAAGGAGGCAAACTCTACGCAGAGACAACCTCTGGAGGAGGAAGAACAATGCCTTCCAATAGTTGCTTGTCTGTGGATTGGGGCTGCTACTCCCTTTGGTTCTCAGGAAGGGCTTTGCTGTCATATTCATCTCATTAATAGGTCGGATGCTCCCTGCTAATAGCTATAGCAGCCCCGATGAAATTATATAGGTCACTGAAAAATAATTCCCGTTTAATCACCTTTATCCTGCTGATTAACAAGAGAAAAGATTTCCTCTCGGTAACGTCCCAGGCCTGCGGGTCAGGGTCATCTGTTTGACTTCCTGTTCACTATGGCACCTGGTACCAGACAGAATGTTGGCCTTAAAGCTGCCCAAACCACAGGCAATGTCTACATTTGGAGAATTTCAGTGGTCTTCTTTGGGCAGAAACTGATCAGGAGATTCAGACCATAAATATGTTCCTTAATATGGTATGCATGTTGGCTTTAGATAACTTTTCAGATAATTAAAAGGCTGACTTCTCCCAGTCTCAGTTAATCCCTTGCCACAAAGCACCTGAGAATTATGTTCATGTTGACTTTGAAATAAATCAAGTTTGAGGCCTCATTTTTCTTGTAAAGGAATGGAATTAAACTAGGCAGGATGAGTGGAAAGGGCAAGAGAAAGTGGGCATCGCTGAAATGGACTCAGGGAACGATTTAGAGTGATCTGATGATTTAGGTCCAGCCACCCAGCCAGCTTCTTTCCTTCTAAAGTAGAGGCACTTTGTATTGTACCACTTTTTAACGGAGGGCTTTGAAGACGACAAATGAAAAGTTCTATTTTTACAAGTCAAAGAAATGCTTTGCTGGAAACAGCCCTGTGCTCTGCCTCGCAGGTTTGGTTATTTGCTCAGCAAGGTTCTTTCTGTAATAGGGAATTCATAGACAGTGACTACAAATCAAGAAGCAGATGTGCAAATGTTATGAGAAATGTAGTGATAAACAGAAGAAACAGATCGATGTTACCTTTGAGGAATGAAATTATGTATCACTTCTAAAATGAAAATTTGATAAGGAATCTCCCTTCTGTCCACAAACAGCAAAATTACTTTCCCTGATCTCTGCTTAGAGATTGATCTTTATTCTGTGTACATTTGTCTCATAGAACACTCTCTAAGCTCATTGAAGATCAGAGCTCTCAGATTCTGCCCTTGAAGCAATTGGTATGTTTCACTCTTATGCCCATTGACTTCTCACTCTTAGTTTTTAGGCCAGATAGAAGAATTGAGCTTAAGAGTGATTAATAAAACTACAATAACTTCATTTATAGAGATTTCATAGTAAAGACAATAACAGATGAACATTTCCGTTGTGCTTTATGAGTAACAAAATGCTTTTATATTTGTGCCTTTTTTTTGAGACAAGGTCTCTATAAACAGCAGGCTGGCCTTCTAGTCACTATGTAACCCAGGCTGCCCTCAGACTCTTGAAATCTTCCTATCTCAGCCTTCCAAGTGTTGGAATCACAGGTGTGCACCACCACACCTGGTCTTGTCATGTGGTTTAAACATTTTGCAGTGAGTGCTATTAGACTACACAGGAGGAAAACAACTGATGTTCAGAGATAAAAAAGGACTTTCATATGCATACTTTGCTTCTGTGTATAGTAGACTTAGATCTGAATTCAAAATTTCTGATTTACAGGCCATGATTTTAATTTTTGCCCTTTAAGATTTTGTGAAGTTTTTGGATATGAAATTAGATCTTATTTCTCATTAACCAAAATGTGAACTCATGTGAAGATAGGACAAAAGTAAATATGTGCATAGATGTATATGTTTCTATAAAGACATACATATATGTGTGTATATATATATATATATATATAATAATATACTAGCATCTAGTATAGTGTGGCTAATAAAATTCAGCTGACTTGGATGTATTTGGGAGGGAAACTTTGGGAATGATGTGGGTGAATAAATGTTGCAATATATTAGATAGGGAACTTTTGGCAGTGTTTGAAATTGGAGCAAAAACCAGTAGATAGTAATAAAAGTATGTAGTATGCAAATATGGAAGAAAAATTGTCAGAAAAAATAGAGGCACTCTTTCTGTTTTCAAAGAATGACACTCAGGTGAAACAGACAAAAGTGCTATTTTTGGTTATATATTTTATACTGGATAAAACATCGTTCTTTGTAAATATATTTTTATGAAGCCTTTTGGCAGGAATAAAGCTATATTGCCAGAATTTTAGAGCTAATAGGGACCCCAGAGGTTGTTTATTCCCAGTTCTTTCATTTTGCTGATGAGGAGATTGAGGCATAGAAGTTCACATGATTTACCCAAGGTCTTGTAAGTGGAGGGACAGAGATCTCCCAGTACTCCCAGTAAAAGTTCACACCCTTTCCCACACAGGTAGAAAAGTTTCCAATGCAAGTGATTCCTCAGTTACCTTTCTAGGCAATTCTTCTGTTTAGTTTTTACAATGTTTGAATAAGGTACAGGACTATGGATTCAAACATAGTTATCTGTAATTCCTCATATTTTCAATATGAAAATGCTTCTGATGTCTTCAGAGTTTGAAGACTCTGTACTTTTTGTACTTGTGGTTTATCTGCAGCCATGTACAAGCAGCAGTGTTGCTCAGTTGAACTGGATAAATACTGGAACCTGGGTTGGGCTTTTATGCTGAAACGTTCAAAGCGACACTAAAGGGACTTTGCCTGTACTGAATCTGTGTGTGTTGCTTAATTTTGAAGTTCAGAGGGTAAAGATACTCATGTCTTCCAAAACAGGTGGAGACAGATGATAATTTTAGAGCTGTTATAAAATGTTAATGCTCTAAATTTTCCCTTTTCTTTATAAATAAGATTTTTTCCCCTTTTTCTGGTAATGTCACAAACTTGAAGTGAAACTTCATTTCTTTGAGTGCACTCACAACAATATTCAAAATCTTCACATTGCCATGATATAATGTTGAAAGTTAAAATGCAGTATGATCTTATGTGCACGCTGGGCTAGTGCTGTACTACTCAGCTATGCTCAAACCTTGGTTTTTATTTTTAACTTGACACTGTACGTTGAAAATGCTTTCATGACCATGCATACAGCTCATTCTCACTTTCTTTTTTTAATTGGCTATGTAGTACTGCATTGTTATTTCACTTGTTGGGAATTTGGGTTTCCCAGTTTTTCATGTTGAGAAGAGTTCTTTAGAGGACTTCCTTGAAAGTGTCTCACTGTACACTTGTGTGTTTTCAGTAAGAAAGGCTTGTGAAAGAGTCACAGGTATGAAAATGTTAAAATTTTTGTAGGTTACATTTCCTTCAACATGTTCCCTTCAGCCTTAGCTATAGTAACACCTGTATTACTGGAGAAGCCTGAAGTTCAAAATTATTAATACATGACCAGGTGAAGTCAGAGTAGTGCAAAATGTTGAGCATCTAGGTGGTGGTCACCTCATTTCTTCATCTTTCAGGTTCCTTTTGGTTTTAATGTTTTCCCCAGAGAGAAGGTGGTAATTGATGACAGCTATAAAAATACTCTGCAGTTGTTGGATGATTTGCTAATTAGCTTTCATGAAGCATAGGCTTTTTTTTTTAACAGTTTCTTAAGAACATTATCCTTGCTAATTAGCTTTTATAAAGCATAGTTTTTTTTTAATGTTTAAGAATATTATTCTAGGACATGCCATTAAGGAGTTCAGAAAATCCATTAGGTTTTCTTGAATGTGAAGAGAATATATCTGAGTTCTTCTTCTTGTTTTATTATAGTTTGCCTCTGTTGAAACATTGGTCATGGTCACTTTTAGGAACTTTGGGATTTTGGAAGTGTCCGAGACTGATTTCACTCTTCTATGTATAGGCAGCAAGAAATAGGATACATTGCCTAAATTTCATAACTCAGACTCATTGGGCAAGACCTTTTCAGGAATTCCTATGACACAGTTTTTATGGACTGTTGTAAAGACTTGAGTAATATTTTTATTTAGTCCTAGCTCCTTTTATAACTATCCCATTAGAGTATATTTTAGTTCTCAAAATGAGTATTTTTTATGTGTATATAGATATGTTCATGGAACTTTTACAGTTCATTTTAAGTTGTATTAGAATGAGTGTAAACAAATATATTTACTTACAT